AATGGATGGATGTCTGATTAAATCTCATTGAATCTTTGAAGACTAGGGCCAAATTGAGTTCATCTATCACCCTCAATCAGGGTAACCAGATCCAGATGGATACAATTAAACTTCAAGAACAGACACACTGAGCCTCACCTTTTCTGAAGAAATGAGACTTGTCGTTGTCCATGTACACCTTCGGGACCAGGCTGAAGTTGGACATTCTGTTGCTCTTCATGGTCTTAAAAGAGCAATGCTCTGCTATCTTCTGAATGACTTCTTCACTCAGATTACGGCCCAAGAAACTAGAAATACGCCGAAGAGCTGCAGGCAGATCCTGGAAGAAGGACACATTGGTATTTCATTTATGACAAACAGTGGAAGTTTGAATTTATTGAGAAATTCTAATGAGCCTAGTTTGAAAGCTCAGTGGTTTTAATATCAAGTAATAAATTTGGATTTGGGGAAATTTTAAGATGACTGATCTTTGTTAGTTATAGAACTAAAGTTAAAATAATATTTTTCCTATGTTAACAATATGTCTAAACACACAACATTAGCACGGGCAAACACTGTCTGATTGAAAAGTAGCAGACACACTGTCAGCACAGCACTCAGTGTGGTTGTTATGACCACTGGTGACAGTGGGCCGTCTTGTTTCTGTGGTGGATCTGTGCAGCCTCTGTGTGGAGAGATGGCTTGTGGGGACTAAACTGATGACAGCTGGCTGAAGACGGTGCTCCAGATCCCATCTGGCAGACGTCAGGTGATTAGCCTGGAGCTTCAGACCTGTTCTCAGCCTTTGTTCTCGCCGCCGCCCGTCACGTCCGTTTGGCCCACAACCCAGGTCCTGCCTCCAGTAAGACCCCACCACATCCAGCTATAAATCCTCAGCCAGACTCACGTTGTTTCAACAGTTCCTCAACATTTGCCTTGGTGCCCCTTGTCTGTGTTTTGTGTTACAATACAGCCTCTGTTGGCAGCTGCTGACTTCGTGAAGAAGCCACTCGTGCGTGTAACTTGTGGCTTCTGTTGGCAGCTGTTAACCCAGTGGAGAAGTTAATCTTTGTCTAATGTTGGCATGTGTTTCTTTTTTTTTTTAAGTTATTTTTTTGGCTTTTTTTTTGCCTTTATTCAAGACAGACAGGAAAGTGGGGGAGAAGAATGGGGGAAGGACCTGCAGGAAAGGGCCATGAGTGGAACTTGAATTCATGACCTCTGCGTGGGGGAACTATAGCCCCTGAACATGGGTTGCCAGCTCAACCAGGTGAGCTATAGCGGTGCCCCGTTGGCATGTGTTTTAAGGTACTCGTTGGTTTAGTTTCTTTAGTTTGTTGTGGGTTTTGCCATTGTTGTTATGTTTGGCGAAGGAGTTTAATCGTTTTGGGTTTCTTTTTTTAAAGATACTTTTATGGCTCTGCTCGCCTTTGTTGGGTTTTATTTGGTTCTTTGACTATCGGTTTTCTTTGTATTATTACTGATTTTGTGTGTGTGTGTGTGTGTGTGTGTGTGTGTGTGTGAGTCAACTCTCCTTTATGTGAAAGCAGTGAAATACTGTGTTTATAAAAGTGTTTTACCTGGACCATATCTTCATACGTGATGAACATTATTCTGTCACCCAGCTCCGTCTTTGTCCAGCTTTTTATATGGTCTGTCCATTTTCCAAACAGCACTGCACACAACACAGACAATGGATCACTATATGTATGCAATAAAACACTTCTCTACTTGGGCAGAAACAGCAGACATAGATGTTTTTCACATTACATCAGAAAATCTGTTAACTTGGTAATGAAGGAAGCTGCTGAAGTTGATTTCCCTCAACTGAGGAACATTTGTACACTCCTCTTAGTAAATTCTGGTAGATTAATCGTAACACCTGAGTTTCGGTTTCAAAGGCTCCTTAGGATGTAAGTGTCTAGATCTCCCAACTAGTCAGTCAAATCTGATGAAGTCTCTTGGATGAGAGGTGAAACGTCTTCTAGGAACTCAAGCAAGCCCAGTTGCTACGATTAATCTACCAGAATAACCATGACCTGGATGACTGAGAATCTCCACAGACATCCTCTTAGTAAAGCATTTATATGGGATGTGATCTCTGACCTTTGCCCTCCAGGAATTTGTCCATGAACTCATCAAAAGTTCCTGGATCCTCAAGGAATTCGGCCATCTGGTGGAAGTAGTATGAAGATACCATGAGGTCCTTTGGGTTCCTCATGACATAGATGACCTACAGTGCAAAAGCAAGTAACAAAACACAAACATATGATAGATGTAATGTGTCTTTTGTTAAAAATGGGATGAATTTAAGAGCTACAGATGTAAATGTCGACCAAATCTCCACCAATTTACCTTGGCTTTGGAGGTAGAGAAGGAAGGAGGCATTAAGTGGTAGGGAAAGTGTGAAACCAGTGCACGAGGAGATGCCAGCTGATCCACAACCACTGCCAGTCTTTTCTCCTCCAACCACGGGACCCGGTCCCAGTTAGGAATGGTATGGATTGGGGTCAGATCCCCCCCATTTAGCACCAGCGGGAGAATCTCCTGCATCCAGATTGTTCCTGCAGATATAAACAGTAGAGGAAATAATACTACACAGCTGATAAAAGCACTAACGTATAGCAGAGAGATGAAGAAACATGATACGATCAGGGGTTTTCAAAGTGTAACATTGTGAGCACAACTCAGACAAAATTGAGTTGTGCATATGACAAATTAGCTAAAAAAACTTTCTATTGCACTGTACATACAACTATCACTTTTCAGTATGGTGTTAAGAAATGAATCAGGAACAATTTATTATTATTTTAACTATTTTATGAATTGTTAATATGCAGCTGTTGAATACCTCTGACTCAATAACTATATAGCAATGTTAAGTTAACTTTTATATATGACAAATCTTGTACTTAATTTAAGAGTATTTTCTCAAATGACAAATTTCTATGAGCCCATGGAAGCAACCAAAAAGTGACTGCTCATGAGCCATTAATTCAAGTCTCGTGCCCTCGTGACAATTTAGTGGAATCAACATAGACTTTCAGTGTCCAAACAAGAATCGACAACAATGGGATGGATTTTTTCTCGAAGACCATATACTGTATAGTTTCCATTTTATGCTGTGTTCATTGTAGCCTCGAAAACCGATTACTCTAATTAGGAAACAGGAGGTATACACATTTAAGCATGCATGACACTCACGAGCCACAAACAATACACGCTGGTGTTGTACAAATGAAGTTATGTCTCTTGGGAACAGCTCTCAGCATTCTACTGATTGGAATATGTGGGTGTTCCTGCTCTGTGCAAACACACGCGCGAACCCGCAGTTAAAAGTCAACCGAATTTAAGATTGTTTTTTGATTCATTTTGATTAATCTCTAACTCACGTGGAGCAGAGCTGGTCCTGATTCCGGACTGCAATTCTCACCAGAATCCACGACATGAAACTAATGCATCACTGCAGCCCAGCATGATAATTTACAGCAAACACGTACAAACAGCAACAGTGCATTTACAGAGAAAGTGTGTAAGTATATTAGATAACAGCAAAGTCCACTGCGACATTTTCATATCTGCCCCTTAATAAAGGCATGCCCGACAAAGTAACAACCCCTTGTGTCATTGCAGGATGGTGATGCCACTCCATAGATGACCAAAGACAACTGTAAACCAAACAAACTGAAACTACAGTGTATTTGATAACATCTTACATCACTTTAGACATGAAACCTCTCGTCACTCAACCACTGCATGGTCCTCGTTACAGAGGCTTTACTAACAAGTCGTTCAGGAAGTGTCTGTGAGCCACAAAGTCTTGGTATTTACTGGTAGTTAGTGCTGTTTAAAAGTCAGGTCTGGGGTTCTATATGAAATATAGCTTACTGTAGCCCATCTTTTGCTGAGTTTTTTCATGCACGTTTTAATTTTTCTGACATTTTCACTTAACAAATGCTCAGGAATAACAGAAAAATGCATAGAATTCTGCCAAATGATGTAACACTGACCCACTCTTTACTGATCACGCTTACAGATTTGTTTGGTGTCAGTAATATCTATGCCCCCTAGCAATCAACACTAGGAAATGTATTTCTTTGTGGATTAATGGCAACTTCATTCCAGGCATATGCGAGAGGCTAATTTTATCAGTTTTGCACCATCCAGTTTGTATGGTGCTGGAGCACTACAGTGACAAAACAGGAACAATGCTGCATGGTGACCAATAAGTGAGGAGTTGGACCTGCCAGGCGTGTAGACAGTTTAGTGATTTAGGAATTTATTTATCTTTTTAACAAGGCACATGAACACTGTTCTCTCCAGTCTGTCAAAAAATAAACAGCCTTGAAAACAAAGTTCAGATGATCAAAAATGCAGCAGCATGTCTTGCCACAAAAAGTAGACATAGGAAGAACATCTTGAATGTTGACTTTAAAGTTAACCTTAAGATTTTGGTTTTAGTTTTTTAATCTGTGAATGGACTAGCTCCTAACTATGATTATATATTATCCCGAAGATGGTTGATATAATTTTTTTTTAAATTTACTTCTACAGAGCATTGTTGATTAATTAAAAACATAAAACGTAAAATAAAGGGATTGGTATTTAACCCCTTCCAGTTAGTATTGAGGAGATGCACTTTTAGCCTCAATCACAGCATTGAGCCTGTGTGGACATGTCAAAATCAGCCCCGCACATCTGGACGCTGCAATTTTACTCCATTCTTCTCTGCAAAACTGTCTGGTTACCTCGGGATCAGGAGTAAACAGAACTTGTCAAGTCTAGCCATATATTCACAATTAGACTGAGGTCTGGGCTTTGAGCTGGCCACTCCATTGCATTCACCTTTTTGTGTTTAATCTATTTCCTTGTAGCTTTGGCTGTTTGCTTCAGGTCATTGTCTCACTGGAAAACTTTTCTTGTCTCAAGTGGCAGTTCTCGTGCAGACGACGTCAGGTTGTGCTCTAGGATTTCTCTAAACTTAGCTGCATTCATTTTCCCTGTACAAGCATTCCAGGGCTGTCTGCTGAGAAGCATCCCCTCATCATGATGCTGCCACCACCATGCATTAAATTGTGATGCTGAAACCACCATCTTCACATTACGATGTTGCTACCGCTACGCTTCACAGTGAGAACAGTGTGTTTGTGATCATGTGCAGTGTTTCATGTCTGCCAGACACAGCCTTTAGTCTGATGGCCAAAAAGCTACATTTTGGTCTCATCAGACAAACGAAGTGTCTTCTAGTTGTCTTCAGAGTCTCCTACATCTTACAGTGAACTCTAGTTAAGATTTAATAAGCTTTTTCAACAGCGTTTTTCCTCTTTACCACTTCATAAGCTGTGACTGGTGAAGAATCTGGCCACCAGTTGTATGCACAGTCTCTCCCATCGCAGGCTCAAGATGGGAGAGACTGTGATTACATATTCCTTCCATTTCTCAATGATGACCTAACTGTACCCCAAGAGATATTTAGTGACTTGAACATTTTCTTGTATCCATTCCCAGACTTTTTTACAGCAGTGCTTTGGGCATTGTTTTGTCTTCTCGGTGTAGTTCTATCCAGCAGTACTGATTCACCAGTGACTGGACTTTCCTGATACAAGTATCTATTCACTACAGTTATTTGAGACACATTCACTGCACTCAGGTAATCTCAGGCTCCCTACCCATGTGTGACATTTAGCGCCAACTGGCTGAACCTGTGTTGAAAGAGATGAGTCACTTTAAAGGGAGTGAATATTTTTGCAATCAATTTAATAACATATTATATTTCTAATTACTTGGCACAATTTTGTAAAAACTTTTTCTCACTTCACTCACTGACCATGATGTTGACAAGCAACAAAACTTTTTATTACCGTTATAAAGTCATGCCTGATTTTTTTTTTTTTAAATAGATGGTTTATAGATGATTTTTAACTCCACGGATCACAACAGCTAACTCTAAACAAGAAAAATACAAATCAATAATCATAATCAAGTTTCTATTTTGACTTTTCTTTAAAGTAGGAACCGCCTGAATATGGAAGCAGCGCTGACCTGACTTCGGGTATGTGACAGCCACAACATCATCGTCTTTAAACTTGAAGTCTTGAGCAAACTTCAGACTGTCTACGGAGTGAGTCTCTCTGGGAAGTGGAAGTCCATACAGCATGAACATCTTCTCAATAGACGACATGATTGTGCGCAGAGTTGAAAACAAACCGCAGCTTAAATTTGCAAAAAAAGATGCTGCGTTCACTTACATGGGGAAAAAAAAGATCAAACTGGACGCACATAAAGACTGAAAAATCGAATATTATCGATTCAGACGTACAAAAAAAATCATTTAAAAATCGCCTGAATCCTCCCACATACTACTCTTATTTTATTCTGACCAAAACAAATCATCTGAAAACACAAATAGTATTTTGAACAGAAAGGTAGTTTTACGAGGGTCACCTGAACGCACACTTCCTGATCGGTGCAGAGATACATGCGCTGTAACTCGGACCAACCCAGTCAAACTATGAACAGGGTTGATGATAGAAGCCGTGATACGCGTTTACTTTTGCACTCAGAAACCCACGTGTTCAATTTCTGCTAAAAAATAAATAAATAAAATAAAATAAAATAAAATAAAATAAAATAAATAAAACATGCAGAAAACCCTGGGAACTGTGGAAACACAGGAGTGCCACAAATTTAAAATAAATAAATAAATAAATAAATCTGTTTTTAAAAAAAGGAAATAAATGTGTAAATATAAAGAGGAACACATAAAAGAATAAATAAAAAATGTAAAAATATAGAAATATATAGGTAAATCTTGTCTTTGCTTTTCCCCTTTCCCTTTGTTTTTTCCTTTTGCTTTTCCGTTTTTTCTTTGTGTTTTCCTTTTGTCAATAATTTTTCCTTTTGTCATTGTTTTTTCCATTTTTCCTTTGTTTTCACTTGATGGACGGACTGCAGGTGAATAGTCAATACCTGATCACAGGATTCCTGCTTGGCGCTAGCTCCTAGCACAGCTAAAGTGAAGTGGCATTACCTTGACGCTGAGAAGAAGTACACAGGATGCAATTTGTGAATGCTCGAACATGATACTTTTAGAGGATTGTTAAACGTTCTTGTTGAACACCTTTCCTTAATTCCTCCATCTTTATTGTTCTGCCTTTCTCCAGTCACACTGCATGCGTGTGTGTACTTCTTCTCAGCAAAAAGCAATGACAAAAGGAAAAAAAAACAATGACAAAAGGAAAAGACAAAGACAAAAATGGAAAAGCAAAAGGAGAAAACAAAGGGAACAGGGACCAAAAGGGAAAAACAAAGACAAAATCGACCTTTATATTTCTATATTTTTTCATTTATTCTTTTTTTTATTCCTCTTTATATTTACACATTTATTTCCTTATTTTTTAACAGATTTATTTTTTGTTATGGCACTCCTGTGATTCCATAAAGATCAAGTTTCCTGTACTGACCTGTATCCACCTCAGGTTCAGAAAAGCAGTGCTCAAGTTGTAGCTGTCGAGTATCCACAAACACACAGACATAAACACACTCACACACTTGACATCCAGTCTTTGAATGCAAATACAACAACAACAAACAAACAAACAAAAACAACTGGAAGCCCTTTGTATACAGTAAAAATCTGGAATCTTTCAGAACCCTGCAGGTGGGTAACACAGACATCAGTGTTCTTCACTGGGCAGTAATGATGCTCAAACCCCCAATCTGCATGTTTTCTAATGGTGTCTTTTCTGGTTCTTTAGAACACCTTAAACATGACCATTTAATCTGATTACTTACAAAAAGATTTGAAAACAAATACACCGTACCTGACTTGGGATAAGTCACAGCAAAAACATCAGTGTCTTCCACAGCAAAATTTTCGGCAAACTCCAAGCTCTCCACGGTGTGAGCCACGGGTGGCAGGAGAAGGCCACGGTATTGGATGTACTCGGGGCAGGACATGAGGACGTCTCCCAGGGAAATGGCAGCCAATGAGTCTGGTAGCCCACACGTTGCTCCTACCTCTGTCTGTTGGAGGTAGTCTTCCTCCTGTTGCATACAATCCCCCTTTTCCCAGAGCTCCTCTTTATTTGCCACTCTAGCTGGCAGGGCTGGACCACTTTTTTTTTTTTTTTTCCTCCTGTATTTTTCTGAATGGCAGCTCTGTACTGCAGATCATCAGCTGTTTAATCATATAGGGGCCGAAACCGAGACCTGGCGAGCAGGTTTAGAGGCTTGGTTTGCATAAGTTCATTCTTGAGACACAAAATTCTTCAGGAGTTGGGCTCAGCTGGAGAGAAGATGCAAACAAATGCTACGGACACTACACGGTGTATCTGAATGAACAGTACATGCTGTCAAGAAGGATGAAAATTCTCTTTCAAATTTTGTGCAATCTGTGTGTTTCTGGGTATGAACCAGAGCCTTGCTACCGGTTGTGTTCTGCTCCATCTGCCTGCACTATTAATCCTGTAAAGCGTGAACAGACCTACGTGGAGCGGGGTCAGTGTCACCCTCCAATTCTCACTGGAATCCACAAATTAATGTCATTGTGTCGCTGCTGTTTTCCACCAAACACATACAAGCAGCAACAGTGTATAAGCAGAGAAAGTAGTGCGTGTGTATGTGTATTAGGTAACAGCAAAGTCCATTGTAGCATTTGAATAATGAGAGCTTTGTTGGACTCCAGAGGCCCCAGCTGAGAGAGGGAGAAAGAGAAAAGCAGAAGAAAAAAAAATCCCGGCTGGGTTTGAGCTAAACTAACAGAATGGGGGGTAACAGGGGAAAACTGTAACTACTGGTGAATTATGTTATGTGGCGAGATGGATGACTAAATCAAGAAAAGAGACCAAATATATTTCAACTTTGTGGACATTTCTGTGACCTTTCTCATTGTGTGTTCTGCATTTTCTTTCCTGTTACAGAAAGAGGAAATACTATTAAGAACAAATGCTATGTCATTCTGTCTGGTTTCTTTGTGGCCCCCATTTAAAATTCATATTGCAGCAATACATGATGACATCAATGAATAAAGAGAGAGGTGCGAAGTAAATTAGATTTTTCAGAAAGCACTCCAGCCTGTTTAAATTTAACTTCCTCTGACCTTACTATCACTTACTGTTGTGGCCATTTCGTGTATTGAGAATCAAAAAGTGCTTCGTTTACTTTCTGAGCTGATTCATTTTGCACAGGTAGAACTAAGCAAATGTAAACAAGAGAAAACTAATTATTTTGCAGGTAAAGAAACATAGAACTCTACAAACTAAATTAAAGGAGGAGGCAGCAGTTAGAACAAGTGTGGATTCTTGTATCAGATTGAAAATTGGCCTGTTGTCAGCTTTAGAAATGAGTTTAAAATAAAATAACAATATTTCCTTTCTTCAATTATAACTTCTGTACAAAAGTACTTAAAAATATTTATATCACAAAGGGTGACACGTTGAGCTGCTTTAAATAGAAGAGAAAATGGGGAACGGAGACTTGAGCAGGTTCTGACTCTGCCTAAGTCTTTTTGTAGAAGGAAGGTTTGGTAAGAGTTGTGGAAAATGTACTTGCTTAGATTATACTGCAACTTTAAAGTGGGGAAAAATTAAGTAATATCCTAAAATGTGAGAAGTTAGGGTTTAAAAACTGTTTAACTTGCTAATTATACCAATACACCTGGCTACTTTAACTGAAGTAATCAACATATTCTCTTAAGTGTAAGTTCCCATCAGTTATTATCAAAAGTTAAACCATTTCCCCTTGAGGAACATTTATATATTCCGAAGTGATATATTTGGGTTGTATGTGTACAAGGCTTCCACTGCTTGAATTCAGTTGATAGAGATATAATACTTCAATTTATTTTTAAAAAGTGACCCCAATATTTTACAAAGGTGTGCATGTAGAGTTCATTGTAAATTAATAACAATGTTCTTTTTTAATGCTTGTTGCAGTGTTTTTGAGAAAAATGGTAAAATTGAAATAATCAGTGAAGCAGCCTGAATTTTTCAGCCTTGTAGAAATCAACAACTGTGGTTAATCACGTTTCATCTCATTCTCACCATCCGACACAACTGAAAGTACTCGTCCCATTTGACTGTATCCTGTTACTTGTATTTTATCCTTCATCTCCTGTCTCCATCCACACACACACTTTTCACTCAGATGCCTGTTTTGTTATCCGCTAAAGGTGTTTTCAAAACCAAATTTTCTCACACCAATTATCCTCTTTGTTGCTCCTTTCTTAAACACTCCTTTAACTGCTTTCATTCCCTTCCTCCCAGGGGACCAGTCTTTTTAGGTATGTTCAGGTTGTCCTTTCTCTGCCTCGGTCTCTCTGCTCAGGGCTTCAGTGTCTTTCTGTCAAGCGTAACAGTAGGAGTGTGGGAAGAGAGTGAGAAGTTTTGCAATTCATCTGGAAATGGAAGAACTAAACTGGGCTGTTGCAGAGAGTCACATTTTTGTGGACTCAAAGGGCAAGTTAATCACATGACTATTTGTAAATGACTTGATTACAGACCAAAACGAGATGTTCGGACGACAAAATTTTGATTGGTCGTTAAAAAATGGAAAGCAAAGGCATCAAAAAACAGGAAACGCACTCAGTTAGATATTTACTCTCAAACTTCATTTAGGCTATGTAGTTGCAAAGTCCAAAGTGTGAAGGGAGAAATAGTTCCCGCTAAGACAATCTCCTGGGTTCAGTTTATGAAAACAACATTTTTAATGTTCTTAAATATGGCTGATCATTCACCACAAAGCTAACACTTCACAGGCTGATGAATCAAGACGCTGACAATAAAGTAAGACAATACAAATACATTTATTCTTGTCAACATCACAGACGCTTAAAGTCAATATGATATGGTCTGAATTCAAAGTGGACCTCAGTTCATTCATGTGTTCAGATTTCTGAGATAGACCTTCATTTTTTTTTTTTGCATTTATAAGAAAAAGAGTCCTACATTTATGTTTTAACTATGTGTGTTATTTAGTTTTATATAAATAAATTGATTCAGTTGTGGTGACACAAACTATGACAGAACTGTCGCTGTCATTCATTGTTACTGATTCTCTGGACTACCTAATCTAAGCATTAATGCTGGCTCAATGGAGAACATATAAAAAAAAGAAATCTGCAACTGATTACATCTTAATCAACATGTGGTCAATCGGATACAAAATTCACATGAAACAAACGCAGCTTTGGTAAGCCAATAATATTACAGAAGCCTCCTGATGTCACCACTCATTCTGCGGTTTCAACTGATGGACTGAAAGCAGACAAAGCTTTACCCCTGAGTTTTTTGTTTACAAGTCCATTAGATGCTGATCAAAACAAACTGGAAGAACTGGTGCGTGTGCCAGATGGTAGTTAGTATCACTGCACCAGTCAAACCGGTCCAACTACACAACATTCACAACTAGTTTTCAGCCGTCTTAAATGTCATATGGTCACATGTGGCAACTGACATGGAATCAGAGGTAAGCTTCTGATCGACGACATCCCCTGTCCAATCTGGACAAAAAGACTGTCAAAGGCTTATCCCAGGGTGCTGAGCTTTGCTTAGTTGCTGTGAACCAGAGTGACAAAGAGGAAGAGTGAGCAGAGAGAGATGGCACCAGTCAGCACAGCTTTCACCAGCAACACTGTCCAACTGCCCAACAGGAAGACATGGACGAACAACCTGAGGACACAACAGAGAGAAGCATATATTAAGTTCTATTCTTACAGAACAAAACACAGCAACGCTTTAGCTCTGAATCTATCAACTGAAAATAGAGAATTTATTCCAAAAGAATTCTGATTTTTGGTCAGACAAATAGTACTAAATTGACATCGGGCTGGTCAACACAGTCCACTCATACCAGGATCACAATAAACTCTTTCACAGAATGAAAATTCAGTAAAACAAACTCCTCTCATTCATTTGCTTTCCATTCTTTATGCAAAAACATGAACACATTTTGGAAATGTCTGTGGCCTGCTGAGAAATTATATGTCAAACAAGTAACACATATCATTCATTGAAAAGCAACCCTGAGCTGACAGTGTTACAAGAGCTCAGCTATTTAGAAAGCTTGCTTCACAAGTGCGGAACACAGAAGATGTTGAAATAAAAGTTCCTATTATTTCAGCTTATGTAGTTGCAGTGTTGTTTTAGTGCCATCTTCTGGTTTATAAAATAAACTGCAGCCACTGCACAGAAAGTCAAGCTCTGCCTGAAGTGAATTTTCACCTTTTTTGGAAAGATGTTCATTTCTTAGATAAGAAGAAGTTAATCTTAAGTTCTATGAAATTAGACAAAATGTGTACATTTCACTGTAATTGTTGGGATGTTATAATTGCATTACCCCAAAAGCTAGTTTTTGAAAATAAATTACTCTACGTTTACTTTTTAACTCGATTAGCAATAATGTATTACTGCAGGTAAAAAGCTACTTTTAATTTAAAATCTTGGCACCGAATGTGTTTGTATGTATATGTTTGTCGTGTACATTTGAGCAAGTGAAGAAACATGTAAAACTTACTCCATTAAGAAGGCTTTATAGACACACAGAGCCAGCAGCACAGTAACAGGCAGCCTGAAGCTCTTAGGGAGGTCATACCGGGTAAACATCCACACCACTGCTGCCATAGCAATGTAATGCACCTATACACACAGAAACAACTGCTGCTTTTAATTTGGATTTATTACGTAAACAGGTACCATCATCTAAACGTTCACGTTACACAGACAATTTTTTAGCAAACTTTAAAAGTGATTAAAAGTATATTAAAGTATCGTGAGAACAACACACTTTCAAGCTCATGTTCATCTGAACACAAAGATAAGGACTAATGATTTAATTGTAATCTATGCTATGCATCACTGCTATCAACAACAATTTGAGAAATGTGAATATCGAGAGGAGTGATGAATATCATGGAGTGATGAAAAGGGGAAGATGAGTGAAAAAGTGGTCACTCACAGAGTGGTGACAGGCACTAGGTACAGCTACTCACCAGACTAATGTTAGAATCAAAGCTCATCTGGATGTATTTCCAGTCAAACTCAATGCCTCTGGCTCCCACCCACAGAGGAAGACATCTGAAGAATCAAATTGGGATACAAACAATGACGTTTTCTGTTTAGATATGTACAATGATTTGACAAAGTAAAGTTTCGTTTATGTTTCTTCTGAAGGATCAGTGTTGCTGCTCACCTCGACATCACAAGTTCTGCTGTTGCCCAGCCCATGGCAGCCACCATGATCTTGTACTCTCCTTTACCAGCATTACGAGACATGACCAGATGGAGACCAAGCAGGTCTGCTAGATCCACTGTGGCCTTCATAAACTCCTAGAGAACAAAACACACACATTACAGCTTCAAGCTGGTATTTTATATGCTTCCTTGCTTTGCAATTACAAAAACGGTAATCTTTTTTTTTCTGATGTTATCAAGATGAAGTTTCTGTACTTACTCCTACAAAGTCATAAACTCCTGCTCCTCCTTCCCATGTGGGAAAAAATGTAGCTAAGAACAGCATCTGTTGAAGCACAAAAAGATTTAAAAAAAAAAAAACAGTTTACACTCAAACACAGACAAGCTATTGACATTTGTGTTTATTCAGCCGTGATTTATGTTGTTTCAAATTTCATATCCAGGCTCTTCTTTTTTAAAAAAAAAAAAAAAAAAGACAGAGAGAGAGAACAGATCATTTAATGACCAGAAAAACTCTCTCACCTTACAGAGCTGGACAAACAGGTACGTCGCTCCTGCCTGGACACATCTCCAGAAGGCATTGTACTCTGAACTAAACATTGAATACACAGATTTAAAATGCAAAACTGTGAAAAGTAGAATTCAGAATATGTCAGTTTAGTATGAGATGAAGAAGGTAGGGAAGAAATTTAAATTTTTTAATGCAATGCTTTAAAATTAGTGTGATAATAGTGGAAAAAAAATGCTTATATCATTACACAGCTAATTAACATATTGCCAAATTCAAGACCTTGCGCACAGATCTAAGAGGATTATGTGGACCCACTCCCAAACCCTTAACATTACTAAGAAGATTACAATCAGAGACTCTCCAGTGTTTGAGCATATGGTGCTACAATGGTGGACTTCATGAAACAGTCATGTCAAAAGGAGCACAGCAGTGATTTTCTATTATTATTATCATTCATTTCCAATCCACAATGCAAAGAAACACTTACAGGCCACTGCACTTGTATGTTATAAAGTACGGGAAATATGCCAGAGCAAAGCAGTTTCCAAAGTGAAACAGTGTCATGATGTCTGGTCACAAAATTCAGCTCCCTGTAATGAAAAGACAGAGAGAGAGAGAGAGAGAGAGAGAGAGAGAGAGAGAGAGAGAGAAAGAAAGACCCCCTACATTAATCAATTCATTATTTTGTTAAAAATGACAGCTGCACAAGATATTGTTTTAGCATCAGAACAGCAGTGTGTATATGTGAAGTAGTCACAACAGAGGAGTTGCTTAAACACAACATACTCCAACTTTTTTTTGTTGCTTGACACAAGAAGAAAACACACATGGTTTTAATTTCCCGTGTCTAATCTACAAGAGAATTCTGTCTGACAAAAAATAATTTAGCTAAAGTTAAGGATTCTTGGATACAAAGAGTTCTTTTTTGTCTTTTTAACTTTATTTACAAATATGTCACAGAGATAAGTGACATGCAGGCTACATGCCCACACAGCACAATGAGTGAGGAATGGGAGAATACCAGTGAAAAGGAAGCTTTAGTTGTAAAAAGAAGAGTGAGTTGTATGAAGATGTTTAAGCTAAAGGAAGGATAAAGGAAGGATAAAACAGCTTTTCTGTTAGCAGCATCTTCCAAGTGTTGCCACCACATGACGCAACACAACTAATTTGTTTGACCATTTAAATGAGCATCAAAAAACTCTCCACTCCCTATTGTAGGGGAAAAAATCACTCGATTTCTACTTGGACAAATCTAACATCAGAGCGCCCTAGTTTACCGCTTTTGAAAGTATGTTTTGGTCACACACCTGTCTGAGCACACAGAAGCCACCAAGCAGCCGCTAGTACAGCCTGCATGTGGGGCGTTTAGGGAACCCTGGTAAACTGTAGCGTCTATCGATGAGAAAAGTGATGTGCTTGAATTAGCTTGTTTACTAACATTATTAATTATCAATTATTCAAACAGCTGATATATTTTACGATTGACAAAGCAACTTTTTAATTTTATTGTTTCTGCACAATTTAAAACTTGAATTGGATTTGGTAGTCATCGTTTCTTTTGAATAATAATGGTATAATTTCCGGATAATGGCACTTTATCGACGGTATGACTGCTGCAATAGTGTACACGGGCACAAACAGGCGTACAGTATCATTCACATCTGCCAGAAGCGAAATAGCATATCATCGAGTAAAACGTCTAAAGTGTATTTCTAATTGACATTTACAGAGGTAGGAAGGCGTGTATGTCGTTAATGTAAATGTATAATCTGTACATTAGCTGGCCGGTGCAGACACGCCGCTACATCGAGCTAACGGGCTCCAGGACAGTTTCTCTCTGTCGAGGACAAACACGAAGCTCACTTACAATAACAGAACAGTTTAACTATATGGCAACACTTATAAGATAAAGAGTTTCAGTGTCATAACTTACTATGTTTAAAGGGGCTGAGAAAAAACACACCGTCGCGAGGATATGCTGTCTCGATGAATGACAACCGGAAGTAAGTTTTGTTCCGCCCGGAAAAGCGTCCGGCCATGTCACAGGTAGGAACCGAACTAAGTGTTCCACAGAATTGCTTCCTCCGCCTCATTAAATACATAATATTTAATACACTTAGTGCCTCCAGAAAATGTTCACAGACGATCTTGAAGTGGCACCCAAAAACCAAACACCATCACAGAAATTCAGGAATTGCCAATGCCAGTACATGCCAGATGAAAACTCAACATGACCGTTGAATTAAATACTGATCTATTTGATTTTCTTATTTTACAGTAATGTTTATAATGATCTGATCTGCATTGACTAACGAATGTACAGTTAACATTTTGATTATTAATTTCCCAGGAGAAGAGATGAATTTGAGGAGAGAAAGTTCACCCACATCCATACCTCATGTTTTCAGCATTGAAAATTCTGTCCATCTTTGATGCCAGTTTATGTAAATAAAAGACATTGCCATGCTATTTTGGTTGTTACTCTGTTGGATAAAGAGGTTACATTCTGTATCTCACCAATAGACACATAAATATAACTGCTGCAAATATCTTGCAGTGAAATGGAAAAATCCCTCAAATGGAAAAAATTGTTATGGTAGAAAAATAGTTTGACTTTAGTAACCTTATTAAGCGCTGTGTGATAACGTGTTGTGAACTGTGCTATACAAATAAAATTGAACTGAATTGAAAAATTGTATTTGTCCGTAGAAAAGTTGATTTATGATTGATTAATGTCACAAATTTGAACTAGAAGCAGGAAAAACAAAGTCTGATGTGAAACAGCTTGTAGATGTTGCATGCTGCGTGTTAAAGCCATGTTGTGGACAGTGTGACTGAGGGTGTGTCGAATGTGCTTATTGCTTGCTGGCTCGCTATTTGCTTTGTGTGTGTTGAAAAACATGGTCCAGGTTAACACTGCTAGGGTTAGTTAGAAAGACAAAGATATAAGGAAATGAGAGCAGGTGAGACTGATGTTAAAGCAATTGAACCATGAGCTGTTGATCCTGAGTGTTGAGGAACAAGTGTACGTTTGGTATAAAAGAGAAACACTCTTCCTGCCCACTGGAGAACAGACCAAAGTTTAAGAAAATCTTACATTCCCCCCAGATTAGCTGGTAAGTGGACGTAGCAGAAGCTAAGAAAAACTTATGAGCCACACGATCTGCCAAGTTAGAGCAGCAGAACGATCAGTCTGTTTATTTTAGTGAAAGAGAGACAGAAAGATGATAGTTTTTTAAAATCTGATGATATAAAATGGAATGAAATACAGACAAATATAGGTAAACATTATACTTAGTGTCACTCTTTTCCAGACAAACCAGTTTAAATGAAGTATTCAATTTTGGCCTCAACAGTCTCTCAGAGGACCTCCATCCGTCCTATAAGTCCCGTGTAAGAAGACATCGTCACATCCTAAGCTGAGGTTTCAGAAGGAACCAAAGTTTTAAATACACCAACTCAGTGCTCGCTCACAGTGTTTTCTTCACTGTCACGTCTACAAATGGATTAAGAAGGAGGACCAAAAGACCAGGAGATGCTCTGGACATTGACTCGAGCCACTGGAGGAGACATGTTTGCTGTTCATCCTCTCTGTCATCACTGTGCGGTTAATAAGGTGGACCGGAGAGGACCAGGAAGAGCATCAGCAGAGACATCATAAAATGAATTGTTTTGTTTTTTTGTATTGTGTGTCTGTTTAACTTTTGTCTTTATGATGCTGTGGCATGTCTGACATAAATGAAATGAAATGAAAATGCCATAGAGATGCTCCTTTTCTGCACCAGTGTTTTCCTGTGCACTCTGTGTAACTGTGTAAAAAAAAAATTCAGGACTAGAAAATAAAATCCTTAAAGTGGTCAATTTTAGTCTTTGTAGTTTTACTATCAGCGAGTTTGTTTGGTTGAAATGAAACCCAGTGAAGAGGAAATCACAGGCGTTTCTGGACATAGTATTTAATGGCTCCATCATAGTTTTAATTGTTGAGCAACACAGGCTCTCTGGTTTATTTGCAGAATGTTTTATGAGGCTGTTGCAGCCATTGCAGAAAGAAAATAAATGATCTTTTATAATTATGTTTGCTTTTTGTGTGAAATAAATATCAAATAGCATTTTGTGTTCTTTTAGACTTCCGTATGACTTCTTATGATATTATTACTCAGAATATTAACATATCAACCAACTTTACTTGCAAGATGTTTTACTTTGAGAAATCAGACATGAAATATTAAGACTCCAAATTGGAAAATTGAATTAAAACAAATGCAACATGTGAAAACTAGTGAGAAAAAAATATAATGTTGATATGAAAAATAAGTCGTATTTGATTCTTTATGTGAAGCACCTATAAATTTCATAATAGTTGCAGAAGAGGTTGATGTGATTTAAACAGTGTTTCTGAAAGCAAAGAGCTGAAGAGATATGATCAGTCAAATAAGAAATTATTGAAAGAAGTACTTTAATTGACATTTTAGGGGAAACTTGTGTGTTTTCGCTCCTTTCCACATCGAGTCCAATTCAACACTGTAGAGAAACAGTGGGCTTCTTACTGTAGGACATGTATGTGACACTTGCACAGTTGTGGTTTTACATGTACCGAACAAAGGGCAGAACGCTTTCCATGAATATCTCATCCTCAAACATGTGGACGTACTGCGCTGCTCTCATTAAGTGTCTGGAGGATAAGACTTTGCTGCTGTATGTAGGTGATATGAATTTACGCTAATTCACATTAAGTGCATGAAGAAAGCTGACAAATCAGTGTAGAAATGTTTATTACACTGTACGTGATGTAAGTGCACATTCAGCTTGAATCATGTTTTGGGAAATCTTTAGAAATAATTCCAGCCAAGATATAAAGGTAATTTAAGGTTATTCCTATGGAGTCATCTTTCAGTCACATTTAAAATTCACCTTTGTCCCTAAATAAAAACAGCACCATTCAAGTGTCACAGCAGCCTGGAGGCTTTTGATGTCCTGGATGTTTTGGAGGGACATATTTCTGTCACAACAAACATTAGCAAAGGGAGCCGGGAGGAGAGAGAAACAAAGAGAATGGAAAAAATCTGAATAAAACTGTTTTGTTTTTCACATTGTTTAGTGGTAAGAGAACGTTCCTTGTACCTGCAAAACCCCCAACTAAAAACAAGCCTGTCAGTTCATGTACTGTAAAATGTGTCCTGACTTTCAGAGGGGCAAAAACATCAACAGCCTAAAAAAAATGCCGGCAAATGACTGTCTGCTGTTTAAAGATATAGTGGAGCACATATGGCATAATGGGCTTCAAGGTGGCGCAGTTGGTAGGAGCAAGAAGGTCGGCGGTTCACGTCCCGGTGAGACCACCGGGATTTTTCTGCATGGAGTTTGCATGTTCTCCCCGTGCAGCGTGAGTTCTCTCCGGGTTCTCCGGCTTCCTCCCACACAGTCAAAAACATGTTGAGGTTAATTGGTGATTCTAAATTGTCTGTAGGTGTGAATGTGAGTGTGCTTGATTGTCTATAAGTGTAGCCCTGTGATAGACTGGCGACCTGTCCAGGGTGTCCCCTGCCTTCACCCTAAGTCAGCAGGGATAGGCTCCAGCCCCCCCGCGACCCTAGTGAAGATTAAACGGTGTATAGATAATGGATGGATGGATATGGCATCATTCGCAGAGACTAAAGTCACACTCCCTCTGTGTGTACTATATCTGAGCTTCTCTGTTTAGTGTTTTGGCTGTCTAGTAACATTCAGTGGTTCTGAATGGTTGCACACAGAACACACAGAACACAGAACATTTAAACATCCCATACTGTCTCCCTTTTCAGCGAATTAAAGAGAGTCTCACATGTCCCCACAATGTGTCTTTTAATTGTCATCTAAAAATACTGCAAAGATGGGGCGCTGCGATAGCTCAACTGGTTGAGCTGGCAACCCATGTTCAGGAGCTTTAGTCTCTGATGCAGTGGCCATGGGTTTGAATCCCGCTCATGGCCCTTTCCTGCAAGACCTTCCCCATTCTTCTCCCCCACTTCCCTGTCTCTCTCTTTTGACTGTCCTAGCAATAAAAACTGCAAAGATGGTTCATTTCATCATGACTGTTTGAAATGAACTTGAGCTGCTGCTGTCCCCGTTTCCTCTAAGAAGAAGACTGCATATGTGATTGATAGCGCAGAACAAAAGCGCTGACAACATCGCAGCCTATATAAACCTGAATGAGTGTGTGAGACCAGGACTTTGTATTGCTTTTAACTTTCTCTTTGAGTGATCATTTTCCATGGAAATATGGGCCAATTCACATGAGCTGTAGTTTTTAATTTTTGTATATGGTTAGTATTGTAGTCTTAATGGGCTGTCACCATTTTCTACTCAGTTCTCTGAATCCAAATACGTAAAAGAGAACAGCTTTACTGGGAATTCAGCGGTATTATAATGCAGAGTATGTGAGCGCAGAGAGCAGAAAAGAAGCAGACGTAAACAGAGGCCAAAGGTGAAGCACAACAGGCAGCATTAAAGCACAGCAACCCGCCCAGTTATGGTTTATACATTTCAAATCGATGCTAAGGTTTCCACCATTTCTTAATGTCCAACAGCTTTACAGTTCCCGATCACAGCTAATGGCAACGTTAGCTACATTAGCTGCACAAAGTACTAACACTAATGATTTTCCGCTTGTTGTAGGAACATTGCCGTCAGTAATAAAAGTTATCCACTGGGTCTTCAGTTCCTTAGATACTGGGAGTGCATGAAGACGCTTGTGTTCACTCTTGCAGCCAACAGAAGATTTAGCGTATTTTGCTGATTGCAGATCATTTGAGAGTTAGCAGAAGCAACTTTAGAAAGTAAATAGATGTAGAGGGGAATAGCAGAGGCAAACGTCTTCATATCTTAACAGCTTCTACTTTACATCTCGAAGTTTATATTAACCACAAAAAAAATGATTTTAACCACATAGATTTTCATATTGTGCTTTTCTCTCGACTACAGCATCCTGCATCCTCCCTTGGCAACTGGGTCTTTGATCTAAACACACTTCAGTATGGCAATCATACCTGCATGATAGTATAAACCCATCATAGTGGCACATTAATGCTGGCAGTATTTTCTATTTTTATGTTCACTTGTTCCTCAGCATTTGTATAATCTAAGCTGACAGTCTGTCT